TACACGCCGGCTTATCATGTAGCGGTAGCTTTCGGACAGGTGGAAAACATGTATTTAATACTTGCGCCGGGTATTTAATGTTCGGCTCCGCCCGAACTTAGACTTTCTTACTTGTTTTTTTAATATTTTTATGCAGTTTTTTTAAGCTTGAAATATTTTGATGCAAGTTTTAAAATATAATAGATTTTATAATTAAAATGGAAACACAGTACCGATTTTTTTTTTGGGTGTGATGCAGTCTAATGTACATACATGTTTTCGTATTTGTCTAATTTTTATGATGAAATTTCGTAAATCTAATTAGTGAGGCTTGAAGCCTTGGACTAACCTTAAAATAATAAATGGAGTTGAAGGACCTCCATATCGAGCATTCCACGAAAACAGTGCACTTATGGCCGCGCCAACCTCACCACCACTTAAAAAAAAAAACTAGGAAGATTTTTTTTTAATTAATAAAAAAATATTATTTTTAACAAGACAGGTTTACAAAAAAAAATAAAAAGTTTCTGCATATTGAACCAAACCTCTATATCCCTATGTTATTCGACGCCCTGAATGCGACGATATAGTCAATGGGCAGCGCTTTAATTTCAGACGGTAGTGCATCTAAAAGGGTACCGTGCCCGAACGGTCATTCCTTGCAGTATGATGGCGCTGTTAGCAGCTGAGTTTTCGATAAAGATTCTATGGATAATACGTCAAAAAGGACGTTCAAAGCAGCCTTCGGACAAGATCTCATTACGCCAATTATGCCAGCGGCTGCTGACCTTTGAATTCCGCTCAGCATTTTAGCTAAGTAATCCTTAGTAAGGGCTGGCCACCAGACCATTATATTTCTTTAAACTTTTGTGAAATAAATCATATGTTTTTTATAAAAGTGTTTATAGGTGTTTGACCACACTTCTCTCCGATTTTTGGGGTCTGTGTCCCGATGTTGCGACAGGAAAAACCGTCAGCTTTACGCCGCTGTTTTTGTCAGAAGTTTTTCATTCAGCTCATTATTGCCCGCCAAAGTGCGATCACAATTTTTCAGTCATTGTCAACGCAAAATTACCTTTTATTGAGCTTGAGTCACAACGAGTGACAGTATGCACCCCCAAAACTGCGGCTTTGGCGGCCGCTAGACCAAACCCAAAGCTTCTGCTTTGTAAACAAAGTATGTAATTAAATTAAAGGGCACTAGCTCAAAATTAGGAAAATTTCGAATTATATAAATCCTTACGAATCCTTAAGAAAAGGGCATTAAAGGCGGTTTTGAACATCGAACTTATTTTCTCTTGAATCTCCTTAATAGTTGATCTTCAAAGCAATCCAACAACGTCCATTGCTTACCTAATTTAGCGGGATTATCAAACCACACAATTGGTTGGAAAAAAATAAGCTCGAAAAAAAAACATTCTAACTAAACAACTATACTTCCTTCTAAAGCAAACAATTTAAGAGTAAATTCAAGTTGCGTCAAAAAGCAAAAAGTTTTCGCCATTGTAAACAACAAAAAACTTAAACCAGCAGCAAGAGCAGCAGCAAAGGAACATTCATCTCAGTCAACTTTGGCGCTCATCAAGTCAACTTCAACCTCAAACTTTCTCTGTCACCTCCGACCACAATTGCGGACCTGAGCGCACGCCAGCCGGAGTGTGGCAGCTATGCAAGGCACATTCCTTGCTTCCTTGGCCACAAACGCGTGCCAACAACAAAAAAGTTACGAGTATCCCATAAAATCTGTTTAATGTCAACACACCATTTAAAAGTGACAACTTGTCAGTCAGCGCTCTGTTCATGTCTTTCTTTAACTATATACATATGTATGTACAAGCGTACTTAGGTAGATGTGCGATTTGATGTACGCGACGACTCAACTTTTTCGCTGGAATGTGAGCGATTGTAGCTGCTTTTTGCATGGATTTGATTGTTTTATTATATTTTTGTTGTAAGTTCTTTTACAACTGTCACTGTTTTGCACTAAATGTCCCTCTGCTAGCTCCACTTATAAATTGTTGAGTTGTTGATGATCTTTTTTTGATGTTGTTGTTGCCGTTGCAGCTTGAAATGTTAAACAGCTGTAAAGTGAATGTAACCAGGGTAGGCAAAGAAATAGTGAATTCATAAGAAACGAAGTGCCACGGAATGACAGTTGACAAAGAAGACATCGTCACACTGAAATGTCACAAAGCTGCTAGTACGCCTGTATGTATGCTACTTTGTAAGAGATGTCAAGTTGTTAGATGTTTTTGTGTGTGTGTGTTCGGCTTGCGCTCTACTTGTCATTGATGATAAATTCAAATATTTAAATTTGCTTGCGCTTCGAATTTCGCGTTTTATGGCATAGAGTAATGCATATAGGTATGTAGAACACCAGAAATACACCCAGTAAAAACTAATGTACTTTTTTGAAAATTTTGCATTTTTAGTGGTAATGATGCTGATTGGTAAGAGCAGGAAACCGAGTGTGTATTCACATACGTTTAAGAATATGTCAACGATACAGACAATAGAATGGCGTATCAATAAATTTGATTTTGGTATCGATAATCAGTAAATGAATTCGATTAATATACCGATAATAAACTCGATACTGCTATACCCAAAATAAAAATATCGACAAGTGTGGCAATAAATGCACCAGATCAACTATACCTATATCAATGTGATACCACCAAACAGTAACCTAATATCTAAAAACGTGCCGCTAAATGCACTACACTAACTATTAATATATAAACTTCGATATCTATATCGACAAACAGTAATCGAAATCGAATAATGTACAGATAATAATATCGATGATACAATCTCTAATTTAAAATCATCGATAAATATGCCAATAAATTTACCACGTTTGCTGTAAATCCAAAAGATTGATATCAGTATCGATATGCAATAAAAGGAATCGATTAACATGTTAATAATAATATCTATAATGCTACCTATAAGATTAAGTCCCCGATAAATGTGCTAATACACGGAGGGCAAATTTGTATATGGTATCGATAAATGAACTTCGATAATTATTTAAAACCCAATATCGCTAATAATATCGATAAATATGTTGATATCAATATGGAGGGATAAAGTTTATCAATAGCACTGGCATGGTATGGTAACGAAAGACATATTCCGAAAGCGATTCAAAAACTAATATCGCTAGAAATATCCATAAATATGTATGTTGATGACAATATCGATAATTAAAATGTATCAATTAAATTTTTTACTTAAGTTTACTATATTTTATGTTTTTTTTATTCTTTTTGTTTTAGATAGTATTTTATTTTTCTCATTTTATATAACATTATTATTTTTTTTTTAATTTAATATGATTTTCTTCTATTTTACCTATATAAATATTTCTATTTTATATATATTTTTTCTATTGTATATCTACTTTATATACAAACATATAGTACATATATGTGTACTTTTTATTTTATTTTGTTGTTGTCTTTATTTCCTTACCTTGTTAGGTTTTTTATTTTCTTTTGTTAATTAATTTTATGTTTTTTATTTTATATTATTTTAATTTGTTTTATTTGTTGTGGTTATATTTTATTTAAATTTTTATTCTTTTGGGTTATAAATTTTTTTTTTCTTCAATTAATTTTATTTGATATTTAGTTTTTGTATGTTTTTTTTTTATATATTGCTTCTTATTTCTTTATTTCTCATTTCTCTATTTATTTTATATTTAATTTAATTTTGTTTATTTATTTTTCTTTGATTTTTATTTTATTTTATGGTTTCTATTTATATATTTCTTCTTAGATGTCATATTTTTATTTGGTTTTGCACCCTATTTAATTTTTTATTTGATTCATTTTACCTTATTTCAATTACATTATTTTATATTTTTCCATTTTATTTTGATTCGATTATTTATTGAATTTATTTTAATTTTTTTCCTATTTTGTAATTTTCAGTTTTATTGGTTTGTTTTTTATTTATCTTTTAATTGCATGCTTTCATTCCACTTTACTGTAGCAGTACTTTTTTAATCTAATAATAAAATTTGGAACTCTTTGCTCACTGGGACATCTAAATACAGTCTTCTAAGTTGCTACCATTACCATTGCAATAGCAACAAACATTTGTTTTTTATCAATTTTATCGCAACAACTGCTGCCTGCACTCTTAACTTGTTCAATGTTTCTCTTGTAAGTGCATATAAAAAAATGTATTTAAGTACATTCAAATCTAAATAAAACTGACCTCATTTGTATTCCACCGATGTCGCTGTGACGGGAAACTGTCAGCTCTTGGCAAGCTTTCCAAATTGTCTGGAAGTTTGATAGGTTCGCCATCTGTAAGGGAAATTAAAATGACCAAATTGGAATGAGTTACATTTGGTTTTTTGTTTTTGAGCACAAAATGCAACGTAGTCAAATAAGAGATCAAATAGTAAACAAGGAAAGGAAAGCACTCGCAAACAACTACAAAAAAAAAACAAATTCATCAGAATTTGCAATAAAAAATCAATTTATTCAATACGAAATGTTTACATTAACGCACACTTAGAGACACAACGACTTTTCGTTGGACGTGAAGCATTCACTTGGAAAATGCGCACATTAATGGAGCTGAACGGAAATCGTTTGCATTTCCACAATGAGTAAGCATTTTCTTTCGGAGCGGGGTCACGGAGAGAGAGGGTAGTGCTTGAATAAATGGAAAAAAAAATAAAATCACATATCAAATGTAATATAACTAAATATGATACATAAATACGAAGCTAGCAGGTAAATAAAATTTAAAATAAATTTTTTTCTCTCATTCACTAACTTGACACTAATCTTTGAGAATATGTCATAAGTCAATGGCATACGTGAGTTTATTAAGTTTGATTTATTGCGCCGAATATTACTTTCCTTTCGAGATGTGATATGTAACTTTGAACCATTTTAATATCATTTGTCAAATTTTAGTTTATTTAGAATGTACAGACATAAATAAATATAAAATGTATGCATGTGTATGTGTGTAAGATTCAACATTAAAAAACGGCGCAAAAACGGTGGCATAAAGGTCTTTCTGGCTGTTCACACACGGAAATAAAATTTCTAAATATGCATTTCTGATGATTTATATATGATCCGAAATCGACCGTTATTTTTTCTCGTCGTCTTCGCACATTACATTTGTTGATAAAAACATGCATGAACAAAAGTTTGTTCAAATTTTCCACACCCACAAAAGTGCGTCAGCCCTGGCCCATCAGGCTAAGTAAGTAAGGCCGAGCGCTCCCGTGCCAGTATACGCGTAGTTCAAAATTGTGGCAAGTGCCGATTTCAAAAACAGTCACTTTTTCGATTTTCAGACGAAATTTTCGTATTTGTCATATAAGGTTTTATATAAATGACTATATGTATTGACCTAAATACAAATATGTTTGTGCAGGACCGACCATAGGTGATTTTTCCCTAAATGTAGTTGGAAGATAAAAATTATAAAAATTTATTAAGTTGATAAATTTGATTATTTAATATTCAGTTAGCTATTATATAAATTCCAATAAATGCGGAAGCGCATGTCTAGGTACACATGCAAATGTGGTAAGGTCCTTTTGGCCAATCTGGCCTTATGTGAAACATAGAACGCTACCGTCGTAGTCAACAGATGTTTGCCGGTCTTCAGATATGTCCCGAGCATGAGCGTTAAGGAATCTACATATGTGTTCATGGAAATTTTTGAACTCAAAATTGGAGAGCGACAGTCAACGAGATTCGAGGTTATATATAACAGCCGAAAATCAAAAATCAATAGCAGTCGAGTTATTTGCATACGGTCCATCTGAGCTTAAAAAAAAACGCATTTGATTAAAACAATAAAAACTATTTTACGCATTCACTTTATCTGTACAACAGCATAGCAAAATAAAACTTCCTTTAGACGATTTTTTTCTATAATAATAAAATTCTGCACCTACTACAAGAATATTTATAGGTAAGAATACTTGGTATTTTTCAAAAGCACTGTAAGCGCAAGTATGGAGCGATAACAGGATTTGCATCGACCAGGACACTTATCATCCAAATAAAAAAAACAAAGATACAAGTGAATATAGTGACAATATATTCCGTATAAGTATAGTTGCTTTGGTTCTGGCGTTGCATTATTTTTGAAGTAATTTCTGATATTATAAGCATTGTAGTTTTGTGGCACAATCCGTAGAGCACAATGATTGATGATGATGAAACGCTCAAGTTCTGATTTTTTTTTAAATCATAAAATAAACTATTTGACTTTACTGTGACGTCACTTGGAAAAGTGCTTCCCTGCATGCTTCCAAGAATGGGGCTTCCTATTTACAATTTACGCGAATGTACGCAAATATATGTTTAAATTTATTAAGATTACAAATAAGATTCAATAAGCATTTTAAGTCTCAATAAAATATATTTGATATGAACCTTAAAAAAATTCCTTAAAGAAGCATAATTTTTATTAACTAAAAGCAGCTTTAAAAGAATTTCTCCAAAAGGCCTTCTGAAGTAGAGATGGGCGCGGGTTATGGCGATTTCAAATTGGCAGGGATGGGCGGTATCGGGAAGACCTGTACAAATTTTTCGAGCGGAACGGGATCACAATCCTTTCCCGGTACCTCCGATAAAACCGCATCTTTCGCAAACACAGAAAATCTTCGTTAAAAACGATGTATGAAATATGCACTTTTTTATGTTTTATTGAGACGAAAAGTAACAGCAAAGCAAAACATAATAATCGGAAGATTATTTAAAATAAATTTTAAACACATGGGAATTTTTCAAAGCGATAGATTTCTGGCCCACGGGACCCGCCGCACAAATCTGAAACACGTCGGGATGGGCGGGTTCGGGACTTAAATATTGAATTTCGAGAGAGTGCCAATCTCTATTCTGAAGTACGTCCTACAAAAGCTTTTCTTAAGCTCATCTTTGAGTAGCGCAAGCAGAAGCCCTTCAATTTGTGCCACTCCATACAAAAAAGGACGGAGAAAGGAATGACTTTCAGAAAGGTTTTTCAGTAGTGATTTCAGCTCCTAAAATTATATACTAAGTAGTATCTATGACGCAAATGCGTATACGGATGTCAAGTATTTTTAAGAAACAATTAGGTAAGTAAAATAAAATAAAAAAATGGAAAAGTTAATTTTTAATAATGTTTATTTTATTTAGTACTTGAATTTTAAAATTGGAACAATATATTTAACAAAAAGTAATGATGATGCATCGGGGCTGAAAACGTCAGATGTATCCTCCTGACTTTCACCTTCACTTGAAGAATCTAGCATAATGGCGAGATCATTGTTTAGACAGCGCTTACAAGGCAAACCAGATGTGTCAGAATTTTCTAAAGCTTTTTAAACAGAATTGTTCATTCTCATTCGTTTGGCTGTTTCAAAATTTGGGGAACCTGTAACGTCATCAGCGTTTTTAGATTTTCGTTTTTGTAAGCCATATTTAATACTTTCTTCTGCGACTGGTTTGAAGAACTTGTGCTTATAGCAAGCAGAATAGGTGGAATGGAAAATAAATTATTATTTTCCAGGAATGAAAATTTTGAACAAAATTATGTTTTCAAAGTCGTGGCTGCCAGCCGAATCGGATTATTTTTTTTAAAAAGCACCTCGTTTTTTTATAATCAGTTGAATTATTGGAATCACGGACGAAGGGGGTCTCAATCAGGGGTAACGTAATTCTTATCTAATTAAAGGTCAGAGCTATAGCTTTTTAATAATTTGAGCATCGATTCTCTTTAAATCCAGACGTAGACCATTTCTGCTGGAAATCCATATTGAAGGAGCTTACTATTTGACTTTAAATAGCAAAGAAGGGAGACGTAGGTGGACAGTTTAACCACAGAAGTTTTTCGCCGAGGATACAATGTATATCCCTATGAAAAAATAAACAAACAAAACACAAGTAAACAAAGTTACTGTTTTTAAAATTTTTGCTAAAAAAAAATCCTCAAAGAGCCTCATTTGAAAGGATTGAAATAAATATATGTATTTAACATCAAAGGAAAACTTGGTTAAAAATTACAGGGCACACTTTCTTCTTTAATGTCAAGTAGGTTTTTTAAGATTGGTCCAAAAAAATCATTTTAAAGAAAGAAACCAATGCAGGTATTTAAAGCACAGAAACCAGACAAAAAACATTACTAAAATGACTATGTTTTGTTCGACGTACTTCAAAGGTCAAGTAGAAGTGGGAACTTGTAAGACTGCCCATTGATAGATCGGTTATATAGCTTAAAACAAAAGTAAGTGCGCCTGTGCCACACTGTAGAAGTGAAACTTAGGTTACATATCTAATTTGTGTCATAATCAATATACAAGGGCTTATATTCAGTACAATCTATCTGCAATTTTCGGAAAAACTACTTTCCGATATTTAACCCATCTGGTGCTTAGCTGTCATCATTAATGTTACTTTGAACTATACAATTCAAACAAATTTTTCTAACACACGATATACATACATACATGGTCAGCATGAATATCATCGATGGCAGTTAAATCGTAGGAGAATTTCAATAATAAATATCAATAGCAATATCGATAAATATCAATAGCAATATCGATAAATATCAATAGCAATATCGATGAATATCGACAACAACATCGGTAAAAATATCGATAACGAAATCAATAAAAATATCGATAACAAAATCGATAAATATCGTCAACAAAATCGGTAAAAATATCGATAGCAAAATCAATTAAAAATATCGCTAAAAAAATAGTTAAAAATATCGATTACAAAATCGATAAAAATATCGATAACCAAGTGGATAAAAATATCGATAAGTTCCGAAAATATCGATAGCAAAATTGATAACAATATCGATAAAAATTTCTCTTGCCCTATCTTCATCTTTGTTTTTACCGGTATCCTCATCCTCATCTTTGTTTTTACTTTTATGTTTATCATTTTCCTCATCTACATATCGTCGGTCCCTACGAAGAGTAGCACATTTCACTNTCTTCCACGCAAAAATCTGAAATGTGCTAGTCTTCCACGCGATTAGTGAAATGTGCTAGTCTTCCACGCGAGAATCTGAAATGTGCTACTTTTCGACGCGAATAATGAAATGTGCTAGTCTTCGACGCGAATAGTGAAACGTGCTAGTCTTCCACGGTAATTTGAGATGTGCTACTCTTCGTTGGGAGCGACGATATTCCCCTTCACCTTTGCCCTTATATACATATAAGTAAAGTGTTTCAATTTACCTTGGTCTTCATTTTTGCCTTTATCTTTGCGCATCTTTGTTTTTGTTTTTATTTTTACCTTCGCCTTTATCCTTTTCTTTATTCGTACTAACT